GAGGCCAGCTGTAATAAGAACGTGCTTTATTTTCTGTGTGTCACAATAGTTTGCAAATGCAGTGGATTTGAATGCAGGGCCTCGATCAGAGATAATCCGTGAAGGATTTCCGAAGACTGATCTTTGAGATTCCAGCCGACTGATAACTTCATCTGCGTCTGTAGACTTTGTCGGATAAAGCCACACGAATTTAGTAAACGAGTCTATAACTGCCAAAATATGTTTGTATTTCTTTGATGTGGTGGCAAGGGGACCTAAGTGGTCGATATGGTACGTGTGCAAGGGTGCGTCGTCTTTGTCAATGGGGTGCAGAAGTCCGTCTTGTTTGCCACGCTTTCGATTATTGAGGATACATGGGATGCAGTTATGGATACACCGCTCAATTTTTTTCTTTCAGATTTCAGATTTTCTTTGTTTAAAAGTTCTTGAGTGCGGATTACGGCGAAGTGGTTTCGTTCATGAGCTGTTTTAATGTCATTTGCCTACATATCCTCGGGCAACACAAGTAAGTCAATGCCGTTGACGTTTTTGTACAGGAGATTGTTCTTAACGAGAAAGTTATCATACGAAGGCGTTGTTTGAAGGAGTGCTTTAATAGCCGTAATATGCTCGTCGGTTTCTTGTGCCTTGCGAAATTGGAGAAGGACACTGTCTTGGATAGTCATGCAACATGAACAGCGACTGAGGGCATCCACGTGAGCCATCTTTGAGCCGGTACGGTGCTCAATTTCGTAGTCAAAATCTTGAAGATATAAAACCCATCGGGCTATTCTCGAATTGAGTTCCTTTTTATTTAAAGTTTGCACAAAAGCGTTGCAGTCAGTGATAATTTTAAAATGTGAACCAAGGACGTAAATACGGAACTTTTTTTAAAGCTTCAACAATTGCAAGGACTTCGAGTTCATAACTGGTGTATTTACGCTCGTTTTCCGATGTTTTCTTTGACATGTAGTAGACAGGGTGAAAGCTGTTATCGTTCATAGATTTTTGTAGTAGGACTGCCCCCCAAGCCATCAATGGATGCGTCGTTATGAATTTCGATAGGACTCTTTTGATTAAAAATACTTAAAACTGGTTGTTGAGAAAGTAAATATTTTAATCTGTGAAATGCGGCTTTCTGATCAGCATGAAATTGAAAGGGGGTGTCCTTACGAAGGAGATCACTAAGGGGTTTTGCAATGCTAGAATATGAGGGGATGAATTTCCTACAATATCCCGTGAGACCGAGAAAGTGTTGGACGTCTTTCGTACTCTTAGGTTCGGGGTAGTTAATTACAGATTTTGTTTTCGAAGGGGAAGGAAAAAGTTTACCACCTTCAACGATATGTCCAAGAAATTCGATTTTTTTTGTGAAGAAATTGACATTTACGAAAATTAACTTCTAGACCATATTCACTAGCAACTTTGAGTACTTGGTTGAGACGATGAATGGCCTCATTTTCATTTTTGGCGGGAATAACTACATCGTCCATGTAGGGTAAAACATAACCTTTGACAATTAAATCACGAAAAACATAATTTATAAAGCGCTGGAATACTGAAGGGCAATTTGAAAGACCAAATGGCATTCGAAGAAACTGGAATTGTCCGTTGTGAGTTACAAAAGCTGTATATGGTTTACTTTCGTCCGCTACTGGCACATGAAAAAAGCCGTTACGTAGGTCAAGAGTACTAAAAATTTTGGCGTCTTGAAGTTTATCCAAAATGTCATCAATAAGAGGAAGAGGAAAATGATCCTTAATTAAAAGTCGATTAAGTTTCCTATAATCGATGCAAACACACGGGGTGTACCGTCTTTTTTACGCACCACGAGAACTTGACTGGCATATGGAGATGAACAAGGTTCAATAATTTTAAGTTTCAACCATTCATTTATTTGTTTGTCAACAATTTCCCGTTCAACAAAAGGAAGGCGTCTAGGAGGGTGAAAAATCGGTTTATCATCGGATAGAGTGATATTAAGTTTAATATCTGTCGTCTTTGTTTTATTTGGGACATAAGAATTCAGCAAACGTTCTGCCGCAGCACGAGTTTCTTTGGAAACATTTGAACCAATATCAAAAGCTGGAACATCGTCATTTATTGCAAAAATGAAAGATTCAGGAGCAGTTTCAAAGCATTGCTCGGGAAGGTTTTGAAAAATATATACCGTCTGGTGTAATAGTTAATTTAGCATTTTTAATTACGTCACATCCTACAATAAGAGAAAATTGCATAGAATGATTTGGAACAACTCTAATATTAGCCGGAAAGTCCTGATTATCAATGTTGATAATGGTTTGAAAATAGCCAATAATAGGAATTTTCGAGAATCCGAAACCAGTTAACACTCCAGAATTTATTTGAAAGTGGTGGGGAACCAAGTTGAATCCATGTGTTTTCGTTCAGTAATGTGACCTCACTTCCAGTGTCAATTAATCCAGAAACTGTGCTATTGAGTATAACGACAGTTTTACACATATTACCGTGAGAGGTTTGTACTGTATTTACTTCGGCAGGTGGAGTGGAAGTCTCATTTGATGTAGTGGGGCGGCAATCCATAGATTTATGTCCAAAACGACCAACAAGTTAGACACTTTGGGCCAAGAGAACGATTAGGACAGGACCGTGAGAGGTGTCCGTCCTCATTGCAGTTAAAACAAGTTTATGGTTTGGTTTTAGATGGACCAGTATTATTAAATTTCGTGTCGTGTTGTTGGTCTGAATTTTTTCTACCACGTCTGGGGCCATTAAACGTATTTTTTAAAATTTGATGGATGAGAGATATTTGTATGTCTAGTCGTAACTACAGATTCATAAGTGCGTAGCTTTTCCTTGAATTCAGAATATGATTTTGCACCGTAGAGAATAATTTTATCCGATGGGGTACCTAGTATTCCTTAAATGGTATACTGAAATGACAGAAGCCTCGTCGATAACACCGTCACCACGATTCGCAATTTCGCGCATTGCGATAAAATATTGCAAAGAGCTTTCATTCGAGCGCATTTTTCTTCTTTCGAGTTGTTTATGAATTTCAATAGACGTAATTTTATCGGAGAACTCATTAAGTAATACTGTTTTAAACATGTCGTATGAATTGAGATTCCGTTGTGAAAACAAAAAAGTTTTAGCAGTACCCACAACAAGTCGTTTCGCAAAAACTAATTTTTGCTGGTCGGTAAGATTTGGGAATAATTGGAAATTATCCTCTATATCGTTGAAAAAAGCACGGACTGAATAGGAATCATTGCCTGAAAAGTTTCTGCAAGTGTTTGAAAGATCTCTCAAAATAAACCATAAAGTCATGACTCATCTCGCGAATCTCGGTGTTCGCCGTCATATAAACACCGGAGCGACTCGAATTCAAATTTATTACTTCCGCGTCAGAAGAAACAACGCGATTTGGGCTTGGCGCCGTGGAGGGAGGGGAAGGGGGAACAGAAGAACTTAGACCTACAGGCGTCGGTGCACTGTCGGTGTTTGAAATTGAATGATCGTCATCGGATAAAAAACTAACATCTAGGGAATTGTGAAAATCCGTCAGATTAGTGAGCGCATGAAAAATTTTTTCACATAAAACATCTTTATTAGTGGAAGCTTCCAAATGCAATAAATTAGCCACTGATATAAAATCTGATAAAGAAAAATCTTTTAATAGAAGTTCTTTATGTTTTGCCAAATCGAAACTGTCCGGGAACGCGGCAAAATTTCGCATTCTCTTTCGCGAAGAATGATCAAAATCGGAATATCCGAGCACGGTATTAAATAATTTAATAACTCGTGTTGTGCCATATTTAAGAGAATTCGCTATCAATGGGATATCACCTAATTTTAGGGCCATAGTTCTTTAAACAGTAAAATAGGACAATATGAATATGAAATAGGGTATGTATGAATGAGAATTAAACAGTATAAACACAGCTTAAAATCGTAATACTAATAAATTATGAACGAATTAGGGAAAAAATGGGCCTACCTAACTTCGGGGCAGTCCTTATAATCCAATATATATCTTGGCCAATCCAATGTAATCCAAAATCGAATTTCGATTTAACGTCCAAAATCAGAAGAATGGACAAGTAGCATGTAACATCATTCACATATGTCGTCCAGCTTGAAGAATATTAAATCGTCATAAAGGCACGTCTTCATTCACATACGTCGTCTGGCTTGAAGAAGAATATTAAATCGTCATAAAGGCACGTCTTGCCTTTGTTAGCTTTTTGAACGTTTTTAGTGATTGCTGGTGTCTAGGGTTCGATTATAACGCATGCACAAAAGGTACGGTCGAGCCCCCAAAATGTGGGGAAAGGCAACGACCATAGTTGATAACACACATTTATTACTATTTACAAAAATAGATTACATTAGGATTACAATTAATGAAAATGGTATACGAGCGACGTCTGCTCCGCTCGCCAGCTAATCCTCGTCTTCTCCCGAAGGCAGGAAACACATGCTGACGCAATGCATACGTCACACAGTAGGGGATTAGGGAATATCATGACATAACGTTTCCCACATTCATGGTAGTTTGAGGTATACTAATTGTGCTCTGTGATACTAAGAACTGTCAGAATATTTCTGTGGAAAGTTCTAAACAGTGAAACATTTCTTTAGGTCCTTTTGGTATTCTGAGAAGAACTGTATAAGTGTTTTTTGGAAAGTTCTAGAACTATAAAGTGTTTCTTTTGGTAAAATAAATTTTATAAAACTATCATCGGTTCTGTGTGCATTCATTCTATATGAACTCCTATGCACACAAAATTACTTTTATTTTTGAAATGTCATATGTAATAAAAAATTCTTATTTCATGCATTCTTATAATTATTACATAATTACCTGCATTTCACACTATTTTTTGTTAAAAATTAACTAATGCTAAGTTTGACAGTTTTGCTTAAAAATGGATATTATTTTGTTATCATAAGCAAACAACAGTACTATACTATAACACTAATAAAATTGCAGGAAAGACATAAAAAGAAACTGAAATTTATACAAGAAAAATAAATACCTTCACTCAATTCAGAATCCTCCTGACTAGTACTACTCATTTTTCGACGGCGGCGCAATGCTCGCAAGTGCCGCACAGAAATCCTTTTTAAATTCATTTGTTTCCCCGACAATTTCTAGGAGGGAAGAAAAAAACCATAAGAATTATATTTTTGTTATATAATTTTTATATTATCATTACACTTTTATGCATCAAAATATAATAAATGTACATAAAAAGAAAAATTTGAATACAAATAAAAGAGCTTTTTTAAGGTTTCTGAAACTTTAAAAATGCACTAAACTAACAGGATATTAGATCCAAAATTAAACAGTACTGTCCAAAATATCTACATTCTGTAAAAAATGCATTTTTAGAATGAACACTTGCATACTATCCATATGTTGCAGTAAAAAATGGAGATTCATTCAGTAAAGCAGCTTTCTTCAATTATCTTTCATGCCCACACACTGTACTGTTTCTGATATCAGTAATTCATATAAGCTCCACTAGTGTCCTGCAATTCTGCAAGTCCTATGCTGCATTGCTTGATGCATACGATGCCATAATACTTATTATCCTCAGTGATTTAACTTTAACATAAAATTAAAGAATAAAATTATTTAGGATATATGCTATGGTAGCTCTCTCTATGAATCAGTTTTGCTGAGCTTTCCCGTTTCCGAAACAAATATCTCCTACATGGTGGTGGTATACCATTTGCCTCCCTCCTTCTTTAGACTCCTTCCTTCGATCACTCACAATACATAATCACCCACATTCCACATATGTCATATTCATACAATACTAAAACCATTACCTTGAGACTTTGCATTCAGTATGCTGACTTAAAGTTAGTCTATCATTCAAAACTTCCATAATCTGCATTTTTAACCAAATAATGACACCAAAAAAACCCCTATGAAATTATTATAATGCATCAGAAATTGTTCATTGATGCATGGAACCAATTTCTCATGCCAAAAAGCACATTAAAAGAAAAGAACTTTTTCATCAATATTTTAGTTTTGAAATGTCACAGAAAACTCACACCTAATATATATTTAAATATTAAAAAAAAATCTGAAATGTTTCAGATTTTAAATTACGTCCAAAGGGGCGTTTTTTTAACATTTTGTGTGTTACCTTTCTTTATTAAATATCATGTTTCCTCGCACTTAAACCATAAGATCCAGTGCAACAGCAATATCGCAAAATAGTTTTAAAACGAGCATATCTTTAGAATTTCCGATACAGAGACTCACGCGCTGGAGATAAAATGTTTTTTCTGCACAACGTTGCCATTGCTCGCTTTGAAATCCTTGAGTTTGTTAATCAAAAATTCGTCAAAGTTTTAAAAAATAGGAAATCGATCATAAAACAAATTTCAAATTTGGTCTTCCACATGCTCATATTTGTTGGAGGATTACGTTATTCAAAATTCAATGACTCTATGTACCATTGTTTTATCACAATACGAGAAATATACATACATTTATGCAGATTTTTCATTATTTAATTTCTTCAAATATAATGCAGGACTCTTAACATTTTGTGGCAACAGTTTGAAAAGTGAACCGACATTTATGAGTCCGACGCAAAATGCCAAAACGAAACTAATAGTCCAAAAAAAAAAAAAAAAAAAAAAAAAAAAAAAAAAAAAAACTGATGTGGACTCTGGATTACTTCCTTGTGTGGACTTTTTTTTTTTCCCCCAATTTTCTTAAATTTATTTCCTCAAATTTCATTAGAGATATACTTCTTGTTGAATCAATTAAGTTCTCATTTGCAACTCACTTCGCAAAACATCTTAGTAAAAGTTATAAAATAAAATTTTAAAAAAAAAAAAAAAAAAAAAAAAAACCACCTAAAACACCAAATCCAATGGACAGGAAGACAATATATTTGGGTGCACAAAACTGGAATTTAACTTTTGGTCTCACTGGACAAAAAGATACTGAAGTTGGAGCACTGACTTAATTCACTATTCTACTAAGTTTCAAATGTAAAGAAATGGCAGCCTCATTAGGCCTAACACAACTTTTAAATTGTTGATATTTCTATAGCTACTGTGTGTAGATTAATTAAAGGCATAAAATCCTTAACAGAAACATAAGAACAACTTAAACACTTTTAATATGTGTAATGTGTATACGAATCAGTTTCCCTTAGAAAGTCCTCCCCGAAGGCATCTCTCCCTATTGGAAGATAGCCTTTGAATACTTTGCCATAATCAAATAAATCATTTTTAAAGCAAATAATTCACAATTTACCAAAATATAAGGAAAAAAACACAGAATTTACCAAACCAGATAAGAGAGTGGATATATATGTTTGTTGTGGCTGACTGCAATACAGAAGGGGAGGTGCACAACATATTATGGTAGCCTCGTTTACAAAACTTCAATGTTCTATAGTTAATCATTTTTTAGTTATGTGAGAAACATATATATGTTATGTAAAAAATCACTTCTGAATCTATTTTACAATCTGTTTTTCCAAAACAGATTATTCTGTCCATACATACAGAAAATGGATATTTTTAGTGAAAAATGTTACCCGAAGCTTTCTGCGATCACAGTACATTCTTTACTTTTTACAAGTAAGTAAAAAACAACTTTGTATGTTTCAAAAATAATATTATACATGCAATACATATTCAATACATCCATTTTATTAGATATGTAACATCTTGTACAATGCATATTGCATTAGAATAATATACAATAAGAAAAACTTTCATTACATAATATTTAATAAAAATTAAGCAATTTAACTGATTTGCTGAAAAACAAGATCAGATCACATAAAATAATTAATATATATAGATTTTTAAGTAATGAATCAAATTTTGCTGAGCTAACACGCACTTCTAATACTTCGGTACCTTGAGATACGAGCACCAAACATATGAGTAGATACAAGCAGTCACTACGTCCAGTTTTTGGCCTGAGTTACAAGTCAAAAATTGAGATATGAGCTAGCATTAGTGATGTCATAGCAACTGGCATGTGAAAGACTCACAAATCTGAATCGCCAATCAGATTTGCGAATCTTGCGTGCGCGAACTGGCTGTGATGCTTAGACTGCTTAGACTAAACTGCCATTTCAATTCACCTAGACACAGAAGCATTTCTATTGTATTGTTTTAATTTTGTGTTTTTTATTGTCACAGACAGTTATTTAGATAATTTATTTATCATATAACCATAAGTTCCAAAAAGATGAGTGAAGGAAATAGAGATGGAGAAAGTGTGATATCTATAGAATTTAATTGTGAGATAACAGACATACATGAGCAAGGCGTAAAAGACTTGGCAATGCAGTACGACCATACAACTCTCATTATGTGTACTATTCTGAAGCACAAAAACTCGATAAAGGCTATAACCCCAGCTAGGAACATAAATTATCTCAAAGCTTTGTAACTCTGTCCATGAAAAATTGGATAATTTGATGTTACAGTGGCTGACAGAAGCTACAGGTTATGTGGAGGGCAAACCAAAAGGCATGGGTCAACAAGACGTTTTTTGTGGAGTGGGTCAACTTGGTGTTTGATCCTGCTGTTAAGACATGCCCCTACATCAGTGACTTACCTATGCAATCCCTTCTTGTTCCTGACAATGTGGCTTGCCACCCAGCAACAAACCTTAGAGATGACATCCTTGAGAAATTCAGTTTTAATAAAAATTCTGAACCTTCCAACAAACACCACCTCTACTCTACAGCCCATGGACAAATATATGATCTTCAATTTTTAAAAACTTTTTACCAAACATGTTTCAACACTGCTCTGAGATTACGAAGAACACAAACCTCACCCTTTGACAGTTCTGGAATAACTACTAAAATATTGCTATATTCTTCAAAATTATTTATATGGCCTGGCAAGGTGTTACAAAAAGAACCTTGACCTCTGTATAGAAAAAGATGTGGCCTGACATTATGAGTGAAAGGACTTTGAAAGATTTAGACATAAACAAGAAGTGCTGGATTGTGTACCTCGGAAAGTCCATGAGCCTGGGTGTGGATGAGGGAGATATCAAAGAGCTCATGACCACACAATCTGAGGAATTCACGATGGAAAAGTTGATGGAGCTACAGATGCAGCAACTAATGGAATTTCTGCAGGAGACTGCAGAGGAGCCAGAAGTGGAGAAAGGTATTTGTTCAAATAAGATTAAAGATGTGTTTGCAATGTGGAAAAAAAATTCTGAGTTTGCTGAAAAGAACACCCTGAAAAGGTTGCAACTTATTTTGCAGTGATGTTATTTAATGACATCTGCCTAACTCATTCAGAAACATTCTAAAAGGGAGAAAGAAACAAAGCTCTTTAGACAGGTTTCTATTGAAACCACTTTCGGATAAAAGAGGCAAAAGCATGGCGAAAGAGAAAAGAACCACTGAAGAAAAAAATAAAGCAAAAATTGGGGGGGGGGATGTTAATACATATATCATATGCTAATCTAATACATATGTATCTATTATTTATTTCTTTAAATTATCTTTTATTAGGTTTTATAAAAAATAGATTATTAGGTTTTTACTTTGTTTATATGCAATATTTGTTCATTCTAAATATTTTTGTTAGGCTGAAATCATTTAACAGAAAAATTGGAATGAATTTTTTTTTTTGGGGGGGGGGGGGGTCTGGCACAAATTGATCACACTTCAATTAATTTTAATTAAAAAAAAAATGACTTGAGATACAAGAATTTTAACTTCAGCGTTTGGTTATGGAACGAATTAAACTCATGTCTCAAAGGTACATAAATTTTGTATTTGTTGGCAAAATGAGATACAGAATATAAATTAGTACAAACAATAAGTAATATATATGAACTGATTCCTCTCTACAGACAATTATAGTAAACAGTTAAACATGATAAACAGTTATGTAATGCACAATTACATTTGATGTAGATTGAAATGAATTAATTATTTACTATTTCAAATGTTATACTTCTATAAAAGCAGTAAACTATACTATGAATTACTTTCCATCTATTATATCAGGTACTAGAGAAACAAAACTAACTTGACTTTTGTATTATACTTAGGACCAACCATCTAACTACAGTACAAAGTCCGAAATCCGGACTCGTCGGGAGTTCGACGAAACCGGATTTGGGATTTTTCTGGATAATAGATCATCAATTTAAATCTGGGAAGATGGCATGCAGAAATTATACAATTAAAAATATGAAATCGTAATTTGTGAAATAAAGAACAATTATGATCTAAAGGGTATCGAAATTCACAGAAAAAAAAAAAAAAAGCTTAATATTTATTTATTTGCTTTTTTAAACATTTCTTTCAATGTAAGTTGTTTAAGTTGCTTTCAAAAAAAAAATTAAAAAGTTCCTTTTTCTTATGTCATATACAGTTGACTTTCCAATGCCATACTCCTCACATAATTTTGACAAGGATATGCCTTTATCCATTTTTTGCAGAAATTCTACTTTTTGTTTAATGGACATTGAAACATGGTAGATCCTTTCACAGCTCCAACACTGGAAACTCTTTTCGATATAATCGAAAGTTCAAGCTTAATTTTTATAAAATTGCTGTAATAACAACAGTCTGCAAAAATAAATAAGTTGGATCAAATTAGAAGATTAAGGAGCAGCACAGTCTGCTACATTAACTGAAATACCTTAGAATCAGTTCAGACAATTTTAGCTTAGCTTAATAGCGTCCGTTATACATTATTGGTGACGAAAGCCAAGTTGTTCCCGCTAAATTTTGTCTTGCTCCTATTGCATACTGAATAAGCCTGAATTGTATTAGTTATTACTATACCTACGTTTATTTCTTGCACATGCTTAAAACTAATCTGAGTCCTGAATAAATAAACTCCCACATATACTTAAGGCTTTATCTAGGGTCGACACTAGATACCTCCTGGCGCAGTCTCTAAATTCTGCTACAAACCACCTTCCTAAGTTCTAAATTTTTGCCACATCTAAACTTTGGAACTCAGTGCTCCCCACCAAATCATAAAAAACTTCTCATCCCTTAATTTTGACGCTCAGTGCTTCCCAAAATTAAAAAAAAAAAAAAAAAAAAAAAAAAAAAAAAAAAAAAAATTGTGCCTTTCTTAAATTCTGCCGCCGCTTCTGGATTTATGGTGTCATATCAGTTATTACATATCAGTTATTCTTAATTAAAATAGCACTAAATGTAATCTTTTGGCCTATGACTTATTAAGAAAAGCTATTTTTAGCATATGAAAAGAAATCTTTGTTGAATTTTTCCTTGTCAACATTTCTTAGAGTATTTAAAAAATCTATAATCGTCACCAAGCGTAATGTTAGCAGAAAAAGTTGCCTTACTCTTGTTATTCAATTACCAATATCAAAAAAAAGTTTACACTTCACTGCATGAGTTATTATTGAAGCTGTAATGTATTGATAAACATGTGGTGATGAAAGCAAAATATAATAAATAATGACTCGCCATGTTGGGGTCAGGGATATAAAATAGGTGAATATTTTGGTTTGAGATGTAATGCCAAACAGACACTCAGCTAACGAACCAAATTATTAATCTAACAAATTTATGCTTACGTGATTGTTTTTTCATAACAATGTCTTTTATTTACTGCCTAAGGGAAATTAAGAATCGGAATTTTTAAATGAAAATCTCCACATGTTTTATTATGGAAGGAAAAATCAAATGCATGTGTAAAGCATACCAAAAAAAAAGTTTGTGGCTTTGAGGTTTGGATTTTAGATCATTCCGGATAATGGACATCTGGATTTCGAACTTTGTATTGTATAAGTCTTCACATTAGGGAGGGGGAGCAGGAGGTGGTGAAGGCACATTTTTAAGATAAATACAAGTAGTCGCACTTGAATAAATTGTTTTAGTTTTATCAATCACTTTAGCTTCGCACCAGTTTGGAGGAAATCAAAATTAGTTTAAAAAATATTCACAAAATGCTAATAGAAAATGATAATGAAAATTACGGTGTCAAAAAAGAAGTTATTCAAATTAAATATCTACTCTTTTATTGGTTAAAAATAATTATATAGAGTTAAATTAATGCCAGGACAATTTTAAAAACATATCTGTAATTTTATTTCAATTATGCATGTGTACTTGCTAATAGGGAACTATAAATTATAATCCCCTAAACTTATTCTGAATTTCATATGGAAAAGAGCTTTTAAATTTGAGAATTTTAATTTCAACTGCATTAAACAATATAGTAAAACTACCTTAGCTACATTTTCTTTATTTTCAACTTCTGCACTAATGCCATTTAGCACTTCTTTAGCAACAGTAGCATCATTTTGATGTAGTTTTGATGAAATATTCATACTTTCTGTAAAAAAAAAAAAAAAAAAATTAATTAATAAAATTAATTCAAAAAAGAAATTAAAAACGTATTTAGTAATGAAAAACTTGTAACTTTGGTTAATCCAACAAATACTCAGATTGCTTTCTTTTCACACTTTCTGATTATAACGCATTTGTACTGAAATTATAACACACTTTATCAACTTCATATTTAGCTTACATAATGCAGCGGCACTTTTTAAAGCATTTTGGAGCAATTTTTTTTTCAAAAAGTACAGGAGTTAATTTGGAGTAGCATAAAATGAAAATTCAATTATTTTCACTTTCTTGTACGAAGTAAAAAGGAAGTATTGTTATCGCAAAAAGCTTCAGGCAGCATATTTCAACGAAAATATCCATTTTGACCGCTATCGAATGCAATTTAACGATGTTTTTGCGTGATATCTGTACGTAAGGACAGAATAAAATATTCTTTTCCTTCAAAAAAAATTATAAAACTGCTTTAAAATTAATTCTGAAGAGAATTTTTTGCGGCGTCTGTACGAACGTATGTACGTATCTCGCATAACTCAAAAACGAGTAGCCTCAGAACGTTGAAATTTTGTATATAGGACTGCTATAACATGTAGATGTGCACCGTATTTTTGGTTGCAATCGGCCGCACCAAACGTATATAAATATTATTATATATATATCCACTCTGTTACCCGACGCTCAGTGATCTCAGTTTCTTTACTCATATATGTTTGTAAATTGTACATTTTTTGCTTTAAAAATGATTGAATTATGTTGTTTTTTATCTTCTGGTTAAGGATTTTATGCCTTTAGTAAATCTGTGTGCAATATTTTTAGAATTATCAAGCAATTTTAAAGTTGTTTAATTGCCGCTAAGCCTTTTTTTTTAATGGCGGCCATTGAGTTTACATTTGAAACAGGAGACTAGTGGATTTGTTAGCCAATCTAGAGAGAAACTTAGCTTCGCAACAACAAAGATAACGCCATTCATTTATTATTGCCAATTAAATCATGCTTAATTCTTTCTGGAATTTTTCGAGGAAATAAGTGTTTAGAGATTTATTTCGTAATTTTTAATATAGATATTTTGAGTTTTTTATGTATTTTTGCCTTCTCGCGAAGTGAGAACTGAATTAATTAAACGAAAAAAAATACTCAATTGGCTGTGAAAAAACTGTTTCTTTTTTGTTTTGTTTGCTTAATTTATTTTATACATCATTCTAGCTTTATTATAGTATTTGAATAGAACATGTGGCAACGATTAGATTATTCTATTCTTTAAATGATATAAATTTTGTGCATTATGAGTTATAATATGAATGAAATATATAAGTTAACTGTTATATAATTATTGGGTTATATAACAGTTAACTTAGTTTCCGTTATATAATTATTATATAAGTTAACTGTTATATAATTATTAATACTGTTAAGTGAATCTAGCGCCAGAGTGTCGCTATGGTAAACAAATACTAGAGTGAATTTTAAAGAATGCATTTATTCTATTGTGGTTTATGTGCTGTCGGCGAAGTAGATTTAATTCAATCCAATAAGTTTAAATGAAATGCAAGAAAAAATGCGTACAATTTAATATTCCAATACAAGGAAGTCATATGGTGTACACGTCAGATTTTTAATAGACATATTCAAAATCTGGAATTGTAAAAACCATCAACTGCTATCACTACTGATTTAATATTTTGGGGTTGTATGTCTATTCTTAGCTACCAAAGCTTTTTGTATTGTTCCAGTCATATGTCTGCTCTCAGCACCACAGCAAAGAGCCATAATGATCTTATATTTAAGCTAGCAAACTTCATTATCTTACATATTATGCATTACTCTTTGTTTAACAAAAATTAATTCTGAACAACATGATACCTACATTAAAAACTTATTATGTGGGCAAAGGGTTAAAATATTACAATTACAGCAAAGGGTTAAAAGTCTTAATTTTGAGCTTTGCAATATGTATCCATGAAACAAATATCTAAATTTATCTAAGAAATATCATACATAAAGAAAATACTCTTTCAGAAAGAAAAAAGAAAAACCTAATAAAAAGAGGTTAAGAATTATTTAGCTTTTATATATAGGAAAAGTATAGAATTAAATAAATTTCTTGCATCAAGATAGGAGAGAAAAGCATTTTAATTAAAAACATCAAATTAAAGCTTAGATTTTACCATTGATGAACTTAAATTTTTATTTCTAACATTTTAATTTTAATTGTATATACTTTTAATTCTAAAAATTAAGCCAAACTAAGCTTAGGGATGGAGAATATATGATGACTAATTCTTCTTAAATTTTCTGGCGAAATATTAACATAAATTTATAAATCGAAAAATCAGTCCATTAAAATGAATTTATTGCCAACAAAAATCATTATTATTATGAAATGATTGTTTTATTATGTATAAAACAGTCAATAACAAACATTTTCTTCTTCTTCTTCTTTTTTTTTTTTTTCTTTCTTTCTTTTTTTTGTTAAACACTGCATGTAGCCCCAAGTGCTGCGCATACTGCTATCAAACAATTTGTAAAGAAAATTACTTTTATTTATTAGAAAAGTAAAAAGAACACATTTTCTTCTTATTTGATGATTTATATTAGCTTAAAAAAAATCCTTTCGTAACTGTTATTTCTACATTTTCCTTTCCTCTCAAGCCTTTATACATTTCTTCCAACAGATAACTGAGGTTTTGAAAATCCAAGACAAAAAATACATTACCACTAATATCTTAATTTGTATTTTTACTATTTTAGAAAAATCCAAGGAAATAATACCGTAACCTTTATAATGTAGATGACACAAACTTAAAAAATTGTAAAAAAAAAAAAAAAAAAAAAAAAAAAAAAAAAAAAAAAAAAAAAAAAAAAAAACAAAAAAAAAAATTTAAAAAGGAAGGACAATGCATAACTGAACCACATAATTTTTACTGACAAGATTCCTCCATATGCTGATGAGGTGCTTGAATAGCAGAAATCACAAAATGGAACAAAATCAAGTCAAATTTTAATGAAAGTGAAAATTAGCATTTTAATTACACTACTGAAGTACTTTAAGGTGTATGTTATTATTTCTGAAAATATTTTAACTTTTAGTCCTCGTTTCATCATAAAATTTAAAGAAAAAGAAAAACAAAAATTAAAAATTGTCCCTAATCTGCTACAGAAAATATGCTTAAAACTAGTCAAAACTTTCTTTTTATAGATATCTGATAATAAGTCAGATCTGGTACAAAGTCAGCAATATACCACTTTTAGTAATACCTTACTACTCAGCTTCTAAAGTGGCTTAGCGTTTGGCCAATATCGACTTTAATAAAAATTTGACACAGCAAAAATGCAATTTTTCAGCAAACATAAGACTTCAAATGAGAAATTTCTACAAAATACAATACAGTGGAAAATAAACTTCAGAATTTGTTTTAGTTTCTAATTTTGGTATCTGGTACAAATGCATTTACTGATATCATCTGGCCTCTTTTTGTAAGAGATATCATTTAATTTTTCTTCAACAACATTACAAAGATTTTCAGTCAAGAAATAGACAGCTATTATCCTCAAAATAGAATCAGAAACAATTATTTTCCTTCACCACTTATCCTATCTCTAAACAGATTTTATTCATATAAAATATGAGATGGCATTCTTCATGCTTTTTATATTGCTACTTGGTGGGAAGCCCCAAGCACATCCTGTATTTTGAATCTGATACTGTTTGGAGGTCTACAAAACTATGCTTATGACTTTATTTTAGAGCATATGTAACTAGATTCTTCAACTTCTTCAGCATCTTACAGGTTCAAAAAATTCAAACAAGCAAAAAAATAAAAGTCATGTCCTCCTTGATTTCCTGCATTAGAATTAAAATACCATGACTGGAAACTGTGACAGGAAAAGTTTTCCTGCATCACGACAAATATTCTGCAAAAGCCTGTTTTGGACCGAGTACCGTGCTATTGCTTTTGTGACAATGACCGGTTCAAGCTTGTCAGTGAATCTTAATTTTTATTTTTTTTTAAATGTTCTCCTCTTTGTTAGAAATTTCTCTACCCATATCTCTAATACCAATGTATTATAGTTTCATTTGCTAATGTTAGTTTTTGATGGAAGTTATTAACTCTTTACATCAGCAATAGATGATTCGACCAACAGTCATATATGTTACACAAATTCTTAAAATCAATTTTCAATACATACTTTCAAGTTTGTCTATATTTATAAATGTTACATTACCATAAAATACCATCTCTATTGAAATACGATATGTGATGAGAATATTTTTGGACTGTTACGCAGTATGCCAAAAAGGTGTTTCAATAGAATTTTTCATATAATTATGAGTCTTCTAAGTAAATTCTACAGACTCATAACTATATGAGAAATACCTTGAATAATTATATGTACATATGTATTAGTTAGAATAACATGTCACAGATATTCTGGCAAAAGTGAACAAGTGGTCTGTGCAAGGTTTAGAAAACACATGCAAATACTAATTACTACCTGCAAAGACAAAAGTGCATAACAAGATTGACCATATAAGTTTTACACAGGGTTTAAAAAATTAACACTTTTTAAAAACCAATTACAGTGAGAAAGGATACTTAACCTATATCAGCTTTCTGAAATTCTGCCTCTTTTGGTTTTAGTTCATATATTGAAGTTAATAGGCATTTAGTTGTTTTATGTACTACATAAGAAAATAATGCTAAGCAAAATGCTGCAGCTACAGAAGCATCAGAATGATCTAAAAAAGAAAAGGAAAAATAGTTATAAAATAAAAATTAGATATATAAAAGTAATAAAAATTACGATTACTCAGTTTGAAACTCAACATCCTCCATCCTCCCCCCAAAAAGCAGCAACATTTCTTAAATCCAAGATAATTTTAATGGCTAGTGCATTTAAAAACTGAATTAATTTATATGGTTCAGCACTATTTTAAAGTGTCAATTCCTAGAACTATAAAGCCAATCATACGACTTAATATTCCATCATAACTTCTTAGTAGAGTAACCACTGTCCACAGATGAAGACTTAAAATAACCCTTTTAATTTTCAGTAGCTTGATAGTTATGCAACTTACTCAACATAAAATAAAGTCACTATTAGTGGGAAAACTCTGAACAAATGTTCTACCAAATTACACTATTGAATGCAAAGTTACATGCACCTAAATAAGTTTTGCTTAGGCCTTAATCTTTTAACTAAACAATTAGAGCTAGCAAACCTGAAAATATTTATTTGTTTACTGTCCACAGATGTCCACAGATGAAGACTTAAAATAACCCTTTTAGTTTTCAGTAGCTTGATAGTTATGCAACTTACTCAACATAAAATAAAGTCACTATTAGTGGGAAAACTCTGAACAAATGTTCCAACAAAATTAGAGTATTGAATGCAAAGTTACATGCACCTAAATAAGCTTGGCTTAGGCCTTAATCTTTTAACTAAACAATTAGAGCTAGTAAAGCTAAAAGCAACTCAAATCTATGGTTGAATTGAACTGCTGTACTGTACAGTCAAAAGTCGTTAATCCGGACTCGTCGGGACTTCGGCGATTCCGGATTATCGATTTTTCCGGATTATAGATCATCAGTTTAAATCTGGTAAGATGGCATGCAGAAATTATAAAATTAAAAATATGAAACATAATTTATGAAATAAAGAACAATTATGATCTAAAGGATATCAAAATTTACAAAAAAAAAGCTTAATATTTATTAGTTTACTTTATTAAACATTTCTTTCAATGTAAGTTGTTTAAGTTGCTTTGTTTTGTGTGATAATACTTTCTCTTTAATTCTATAAACAGACATAATTTCTTGTTCAGTTACAAAGTTCCGCTGTTCAAGTGCTATAATTGCTATGTCGAGAATACCGACTAATTTGTCAATCAAATTTTTTTTATTTTCAATAACCTCTGTGTCACTTTCTTCACTATTGGAAGTGAATTATAATGACAAGGAATTTGATTTAAATCATATCAAAGAGAGTACATTGAGATGAAATACTACATTTAGTAAGAAATTATAAGCCAAATAAAATAAAAACATCTGCCCTGAAGATAAGGATAGTGCTGACAGATCAACTTCCAATTCATTGCGCGCCGTGGTGTCCCCCCCCTCCCGCCGCGGAGCAGCGTGAAATTGATTTCTTGATGTTAGAGAAACAACAAGGATATGCCTTTATCCATTTTTTGCAGCAATTCCACTTTTTGTTTAATGGACTTCGAAACATACTTTCGCTTTGTAGATCCTTTACATATTAGTAAATATATATCGGAAATTATATTTGACATAATCGAAAGTTCAAGCTTAGTTTTATAAAATTGCTCTAACAATCTGCAAAAAATAATAAGCCAGATCCAATTTGAAGATTAAGGAACAATGCAATCTGCAACATTAACTGAATTAGATAATTTTAGCTTATCTTATACCGTCCGTTATATGTCAAACTCGCATGTGTAAACGTATTATGCGCACACGCATATTTGCAGCCGTAAAGGTCTTACACACATGCCTAAACGCCTATGCGCATGCGTCAACGCGCCGCATGCGCAGAAAGTTTGTAGCTTTGAGGTCCGGATTATAGATCATTCCGGATTATGGGTGTCCGAATTAACGACTTTTGACTGTAATTTGTTTTTCATTGTACACAAAAAACAAATAATTTACTGTGTACAGATAAAATTTCTCTTTTCTCATTATGTTACTAATGATTAGAACTCTATGTTCAATGCGCTGGATAATTACAAATCTTAAAAAATGATAGCATAAGATTAGTTGAACTTCTCATTACTGCAAGTTAAGATTGCTTGCTACTATGTTTGTTCCTTTTTCAGAGAGCTATTTTAATTTCTATAATAATTATGCTTTTCATTCCAGGTAATCTTCATCCAATTTATGAACTTATGGGTATTTTTGGCCCTCTGTCAGCTAACCAACTATTTAACAACTAAACAGAGTTAAATCCTCATTAAACAGCTTTTATCCAACAAATTTAGCACGGGGGGGGGGACGACCACTCTTTAGTAACAAGAAGATCTAATGCTAGTTTAACAAAATAACAACAATATGCTCCAAATCTTTTCAATTCTAAATTTTTGATAGATACTCAACACAGCAGTCCCCTCCCCCTTTTTTTTAAACTACATAGAAGCAGGAATTACGTTCATTTCACATACTGATGTAAAATACTATTTTTAATTTTTCCAATAAAACTATAAACAAATATTCACAAATCTGTGTGCAAAACTTCAAACTAATATAACAATTAATAATCTTGTTGACAAACACTCCGTCAGACACTCACGGAATCAAATATTATCAAACACTATGAGTGATTTATTCTAAAACCGAAAAATTAAAGAATTGGAAACCCTCTCCAAAGGAAAACTGGATTTTTCATGAATCTACTTATCATTGACAATAGTGAAGAAATTACTGTCCAGAGTAAAGAGATGAAATTTTAAAAACCTACCAATTTTTAACATATGCATGGAATGAAGTTAATTCATCAAACTCTCAGATACAGTGTGATGATTATACACCAGCATATGGTCTTAAGATAAGTAAGTATTAGAAGGAAAAATAATAAATGATGTTCATTGATGTAATCTATAGGCAACCAAAAATTCTTACAGAAGTATGAGGTAAAAGAAGATTTAATATTTTCTGAGTAAATGATAAAAGAATTTGGAAAGTAAAGTATTTTAAATAAATACATATTCTGATATTAGCATCTTTTCCAAACAGTAATTTACAGCATAAAATCAAATTTTATGAATTCCACTACTACACTTTATACATATATATGTTATAATCAAACTTTGGTCATTGGCCAAAGTCTGAAACACATAATAATTTGCCTCTTCTTTATAAATCTGACAAAAATTATGTATATATATATATATATATATATATATATATATATATAATATAAGTAAGAAAAGAGACTAAACTAAAAAAGACCTGTGCGGACAAGTATTTTGTGCATTGAGCTGCAAAATTAGAAAACAAGGTAAATAGAAAATTCTTCATGCTACTGCTAACAAACATTTGTAATTGGCAATTTATTTCAACTTACTGTTAAAAATTATTCACAGGAATCACAGTATCACGTTTGCTTTAAAGCAATGGCATGAAGAATTTCCTTTATATATATATATATATATATATATATATATATATATTAACAAAGATGCATTTTACAAAGATGCATTTTTAAAATCCCCATTTTTATATCAAACTATGTTCCATCATTTAACAAAAGAATGCATTCTCTCAGTTACAGAAAAGTCCAATATTATTTTACACATTTGATAAAATATTCCTGTAGCATCTTCATGAGATTAAAAAAATACTGGTAAATTATTAGAGATTTCTGATTCCTGCTGATGGCCAGATATGGATTTGGCCATAAAATACACGACAGCTTATTTGTTCATTTTATTGAAGTTTACGTACTGATGTGAAAATGCAGAAAAGTATAATACTGTATATTGACATGTCTACATTAGTTTCTTCTGATGATTTAGTGAATTTTACTCCTGGTCATCCCAAGACGTTTATTAAATTTGTATTTGACTGTATTTGATATTTTTAGGATATTTTCCCATCAATATACTTTTATAATTCTATTATTATTAATTAATAAAATAAAATTTTTAAAAACTGAATAGTTTGGAAAATTTCTCAAAGGAAATTTTTTTTCTGCTCAAGAGGTATATTGACTAACATAGTGTTTGCTTTATGACTTTGAAAAACATGATCACACTAATATGATACAAACATGCATCAATTTTTTAGGCAAACTCCATTATTTAAAAGGACTATTACTCTGAAGCAGCAGGTCACTATTTACAAAGATCAAGGTATAACAGTAACAACTCATGTAAACTTTCTATTGTAACAAAATACTCAAACAAGTATGCTTTAAACAGAGGGAGGGAAGACATATAAGCAGACTAACCAATAAAAAATTTCTAAACATTTACCCAGTATTGAAATAAAATTACAATCTACTTATAAGAAACAAAGTTTATTATGAGAAAAAAATTAAATAGGGAATATTACAATTTATTTACTAGACCTAATGTGATTATTTACAAGACATTAGACATGTTATTCTATTTCTCATTATAAATTAACAATATTTGAAAGAAATATATTTTAAAAAAGCATATGAGTGTATATATATAAAATATAAATAAGTGATATTAAAATCTTTATAAACACATTGAAGTTCTAAAAACAAATACCTATTCTAAAATATGACTACAGCCAAAACTATAAAACAATATTAAAGAAAAAAAAAAAAAAAAGAGAGAGAAAGAGAGAGAGACAGAGACAGAGAAAGAAACAACTCTACTAACTGTTCACCCTTTTCCTCCCCAGTACATGACAGATGTTTATAAAAGTCAACAATATAACTTTGGATTAAAAAAAAAAAATAATCACCTCTTTCTTGCAGCTTTGAAACACACATCATGGACATAACCACAACTTTAAAAATCATGTCATCAGACAGTTGAGCAGAAGATTCTTCTTTGCATGAATTTTTTACAGAAGAATGAGAATTAAGAGTAATATCAAATTCTTTTATTATATCTTGACAGTAAATTTCAGAACTGTAGGGAAACAAAAAAGAGAAAATAGTGAAGAAGCAAAATCTGAATACATTTTTAAAGGAAGTTTTAATGGCCTCATTTACTATAATTACACAATTATACCACAAATTTCATATTATTATAAAGGAAAATTGTTTCAAACATCATTGCAATATTAAACATAAAATATATTTTATAATATATTACTGTGCTTTTCTGTTATAAATATATATCTAGACCAGTGGTATGAAGTTAGCCCCGAAAACAATTTTACGTGGTCCACAAATCCATTTCCCACAGTTATTTCAGCCAATGGATTCCAATTACTTTTAATCTGCATTTCAATACATTTCTTGCATTATCAAGAAATGGGCAATCAAAAAGCAGGTGGAAAACACTTTGCTGGATGCCAAGCTTGCAGTAACACAAATTGGAAGATGTCAGCTTAATTTGTTTGTGATAAACTTTAAACTTATCATGCCCAGACAAAAATTGCATAGCTTTAAAATTGAGCAGTAAATCCTTACTTTTCAGTCTTTCAAAAATAGTTGGGAAGAATATCTTTATAACAGTTCCCTTATTAGAAGAGATATAATCACAATTCCATTGCTCAATCATTTTAGCTTTGAATGATTTTTTAAAATAAGATTTTGGCATATTTACATCAACATTAATATCATTTTTAGTTGCATTCTTAACAAGCCAATCAGCTCTCTAGTTTCCATAATTACCTGAGAGACCACGGACAAATGTAAAAAACACTGAAATACCCTTCTTCAGATCTCTGAGAGATTGCTGTATATTATCAATAATATCATTAGATAATGAGGTGTTTTTAACCCTTTGAGGGGCGGTATATAAAATAAATTAAACTGTCGTAAAATTTTGCATGAACTATAACTTATGGACCCTAAGGATACAAAATTAAGACTTAAAAAAAATCTAGAGCGAAATCCTGAACTTTGAGAGCCGGTATATATTTTATACCGGCGCCCCTCTAGGACATTTTTTTCCAGGTAGCTGCCAACTGTTAATCTTTGTTTTTAAAATTAATTTTGGGTACTTTTGATGTGCGTCTGTAGTGATGAGTGCTTGAATATAGTTATGTAAGTCTAAAGACAATTTTTTTTTTTTAATTTGGCAGAAATTTAAAATTTTAAAAATAAAATTTATGTTTTTTATGCACTTTGATGACGCAACCCAGCTGAACATACTTATGTAAAAATATGGGTAAAAAGCTTTTCAACTTGATTTAAATTCATATTATTTTGTAAAAAAATTTAGCAAATATAACACTGCATGTGTAAATCGTATCATGCTGTAACTGAACTAGTATAATATTACAAGCAGATGTCTCAGCCGAAAATTAAAAAAATTGAAAAATGAAGCACTACGACCGACTCAGCTGAGAAAGTATGTTGCATTTTTGAAGTTGTATTTTATACTTTAGATAATATGTGAAAAAACAACCATGCTTCATACTATGATACGAAGAATCCCCCCCCTCCACGCACACACACTTTAGATCATCAAGGACCGTAAGGGTCCCTTTTTTATTTTTTGTAAATATAGGTTGTAACGTATCTTTTTGTTCAGGAAGAAACGCCGTTAAACAATTTTATTATTTGATACACCTCAAAGCTCTTATTCTGATTTTCAACCCATTTGGCTGCATAGGGGCTCCTTTTCAACTTTTGGATAAATTTTAGTTTGCATCTAAAACGGGCCTTAGAAATATTTTTCCTCCTTTCACCAACTGTGAGAAATTTATTTCCGGAAACAACCTATTTGTATCAACCGAGAGCGCAAGATTTCTCTTGTGTTTTCTAGTCTTTCATCTGAAATTAACAAAGAATTTCCCTAAAGAATAAAAGCATGCTTTCAAACCAGCAGTTTTTGTGAAGGAAGAGCGACGGAGAGCTCACGACTTCGGGTGAGATGGACCTTAAGTACATTTCCATTTTAAGTGAGCTTTCCCTTTGTGTGATCTTATCACACCTCACAAAGGAAAGAAGGCGTGACTCCCGAATGACAAATTAGTTGTCAATCACCTCTTTTATTTTCCTTGCACTCTAGAATTTTGGAAAACACGAAGCAACGGGTGTCTTTTGGGAGCTAACATGCCACATTTAACCCCCACAATTGTGTTTTGATGGCAAGTTTTGACCCCAGATGGCAATTTTGAAATCGATGAGTCTTTCTCTTGGGAAAGAGATAAGTGCTGAAATAAAAATTTTAGCTAAACACAGACGAATGAAACTCGAGCTGAGTACACAAAGAATAAATGAAACTAATATACTTGTATTCAGTCCTAGCGCAGAGTCAATAAACTCCCCATTCCTCCATGAACATAATATTTGAATCCTAAACGACTTATAATTAATCATGAAAAAATTATTACATCATAAACTGTTATAATAATAAAGAAATTCTGTCATGTCACAGAGTATAGATGGAGAAGACTGGTGCTGCCATCTATTGGCGTGGTACCCTCAGTGTGGGCGCCGGTATATATTATATACCGGTTTTAAAATCGTATAAATAATCTTCTGTTAATTATCATTTCTGACAAAAATGAAGTAAATATATAAGATTCAGCATGTGTACATCATATATTTGCAGGTTTTGGCCCTTCAAAGGGTTAAGGGACTCCAGTGAAGAATCTGCACAAATTAAGTAGCTGTTAGCACGCCCATCCTGGCTAAGTATCCGCTTAATTCCAAAATTAATACACAGACTCTCAGAGATATATACAGTACATTCATTTCTAATGCAAAAGTGGTGGTACTCAATTTCAACATCATCCTCAAAAACAACATAAGCAAAACTAACTTTATCATCCCTACTACCATCAGGAATATATTTTATTTATTACACTGATGTTATTATTAAGCACACACAAAGACAAAAAAAAAAAGCACTTTTTTATATTAAAAAGCAATGCATTTTTATAACACTGTGAATTTTCAATTGAGAACAACGTGCTTTTATGTATTTTATCTTTATTTACACTATACAGGACTTTACAACTATCGAAACTAATAGCCTTTTCTAATATGTTAATAAATTAATAACACTGCTGCATAACAAATATATGTATATTTATAAAAAATATATTATAAAAAATAAAAGTTAGAAATAATGATGTAGGAAAATTGAGATGCAGAAATACTGATTAGGCAGCATGCATATAGGATAGATAGATAGTAGTAGATCCATATTAAACGAGAAGAATTCCGATTGTGTAGAATGCTAAAATGTTGAATTTGTAATAACTAAACTTGGCTCGAGGCAGATTAATTTCCATTTTTATTTAAATTAACATTTGTGGCCACAATTCACTTAGCACTCTGATTGTGCCTACTGAAGAACATTTAGAATTTCGATACTGTTGAGATAGGTGGAAAGCATCTAAGTGGCAGCAGAAGTAGAAGTGTGCATTTATTCAGTACAGCAGAGAAAGGTTTTGATTTAGTTTAGAAAAGTTTCAGTTCTCAGAGTTTAGGTTCCAAATTAATTACGTCATCATTGTTATGCAAGCAATGTGACATAGATTAATCAAAGAATGGCACAGTCCAGAAAAGTTATTATTTTTAGATAGAGAGAAGAAATATCCAAATTAAAAATGAGGAATTAAAAGCCTATTGCTAAATTTAATTACAAAGCTCATTTACACATGTTTTTATCTTATATATATACATACATATAATTTATTTGCTACTATATTACTGAATTATAACTCCTTACACAGAAAGTAATAAGTTAGAATTCTATAGTAATAAATTTACTCATTATCGTATTTAAAACTGAATTAGGTAAAACAAAAATACTGAAAAATTTAAATAGGAAAGTACAACCAACAAACTAAATAATTATTGTTATTGATAGGAAATTAGTTGACTTTTCAAAGGGAACAAACTAGCTGTTCAGTAAGATTGAGTTTAAATTATACAAATTGCTAATAAGAAACAGTAAGAATAGTGCAGAGAAATTAACTGGTTGTCCTGTTTTACTTGAATTACAATCTGAGAATTGGAGCTTATAATTAAATTAGAGTAAGTTGGATATTCTTAGAATTAGAGTAAGTTAAATATCCTTCCTAACGAAAATTGCTCCCTGAAACTTTCGCCTTTGATAATAATATTAAAACTATGCAAAAACTATGTTACAACAATTTAAAACAATGAAGAACTACATTATATAGTTGTATTTTTGTATATAATATACAAAAATACATTCTCGTAAGACTAAGAAATATTAAAAATTTTTTAAAATTTTAAAAGTTATGAAATTAAGAAAATTTATGTAATTAATGCACATTACAGGCTAGAAGTGAATTTAATTAACTTAGGTGTTTGCTAACAGTGAATCGTAGACAAAATGTCTGCTACTCTCTTCGTACTCAGAATGGAATTTGGAATGCGAACTGGGATATAGAATGGAGGGGGAAAGAGACAGAACATAGGTGGTGATGTATTGGATGCTATTTTTGGAAGGCAGGAAAAACACTTGCCGTGTGTTTTATCATAAAGTTGGCGAGTGAAAAAGTGTACTGGTAAATTTTATTTTTAAATTGACCAAACAAAAGAAAGTACAAAAGAAAGAAAGTAATTTTTTACTGCTCAAGAGCTTCTAAGTAGTTTTAGAAATTTAAAATAGGCTCATTTTGTTAGTAAACCAAAAAGAAAGAAAGAAATGCCACAATAAACTATCTTTATATTACATGCACTAAGTACAATAATTACAATGTTTACAAACCCTTTAACTGATAGTCATTTAACAGATTCTGCTTTTGAAGATTTAGGAATAAATTATCATATCATAACCCTATCAGCCTAATGATTTAGATTAAGTAAAGAATTTATACATAGGAAGAAAAAGATTACATTTTCATTAATAAATTCTATACCAAAAATATTATACAACACTACATTAGAAAAACATAGTATCCTAATTTTATTCATTTTTTCACAATCCAATATTAAGGTAAAAATATTTCATGATAAAATTTTTTGATAAATTCCCTTTGTATAACTTACATATAAAAAGGGGTAACTGTTTCATTCAACCAATCTTTTTTTTATTTATCTCAAAACATCAGTTATAATTTCTCTATTACCTCACAGTAAATTTTAAGAAACCTAAAAAATGCATAGCATTAAACCTAATTAGAGGAGTTCCTATGTTTGAAAAAAAAAATATATATATATATATAGCTTCATGAGAATCAGTTCTTTGAGTAACAACTATTCGCGGAAATATTTGGCCTGACTAGAATTGCCGGTTTGGCTTTAACTTATAACTCGAGTAAAGACGAAACACTTTCATATTTACGTATTTTTATCAATTATTTGATCATTGAACGGGAGTTGGTTTTGTTCCCCTTGAAAAGTCAACTAATTTCCGATCAATGACAATAATTACATTTTTAATTTTTACTTTTACAATTGTAATATTATTCCTCGTGATGATTTAACTCCAGTCCCCGTTAAAACATTATTAACATTTTGCTTTCAAATTACTTCAAAACATCTTTCAAAATATACTAACTTACCAGTATGGATGCACACTTTTAAAATAATTCTACTTTAATTAAACTTAGGAGATAATATAATCAATTAATCAATACTGTTTAGGAAATAAATTATATATATATATATATATATATATTAAACTATTATGTGAAATATGTGTTATGAATATGTTATTTTTGTTTAAAACCATGGAGGGATAGTTATAATTAGTCAAAACCCATCATTTAACCCTGATTTTGACTTCGGTTCTGTTCTGGTTGGTGAACTGCAGCTCTTTTCACATTCACAAAAAATTTATTTTCTTTAGTTAACAATATACACTCATGGACAAAAAAATTAGTGCACCAAGGAGTCCTCAAAATGAAACAAAATTTTACATATGTAATGAATACTTTGATATACGAGTAAGTAAATTATAAGAAAATCAAAGAAAAAGGATAATTTATTTCAGAGAAAAAGGGAAAAGAATGGAGGAGTTAATACTCCGTTCGACCCCCCTCTAGCATGAATGCACGATGCGATACAATTGGGCATTGAGTCATACAAGTTCTGTATGATGTCTTGAGACATTTCGTTCCATATTTGCTGTAACCTTGCCTCTAGTTCGTTCAAACTCGTGGGATGCCCCACTCGTTGTCCCAAATGATCCCAAATATGCTGGATTGGAGACAAATCTGGGGATCGGGCAGGCCAAGGAAGGGTAGTAACAATGCGGAGACAGTCTTGTGACACCATTGAAGTATGAGGCCAAGCATTGTCTTGTTGAAAAATGGCTCCTGGGAGCCGCTGCATGAGTGGCAACACATGTGGTTGCAGAATTTCATGAACATACCGCTGGGCTGTCATGGTGCCACGGAACAATACTAGGGATGACCGTGTATTGTAGGCAATGGCACTCCATACATCACACCAGCTGTGAGAGTGATGTGTCGCTGTACAGCAAAGGCAGGATTGAGGCGTTCACCACGGGCTCTACACACACGAACACGATTGTCATCACTGCCGAGACTGAATCTGGATTCGTAGCTAAAGACGACCTGGTTCCATTCCGCTGCAATCCAGTTTCCTCGTGCTCGACACCACTCCAAACGGAGACGTCGACAGGTGGGCATCAAGACAGCACATGTAATGGGCGCCGCAATACCAACTGTCCTTCAGCCGCTTTCGTATGGTTCAAGACACAGGGACTCCTAGTGAAGATGCTACCTGTGCCTGGATGGTGGCCAATGAAGCAGTTGGCTGTACGCATGCATTTCTTACGATGTGGCGGTCTTCTCGACAATTGGTCTGTCGAGGGCGTCCTGAGCCTGGTCTTCATGTACATTACATCTCTCGGGTCCACTGGTCCCAACACTTCCTCACAACACCTAATTGATGAGTTACTCGCCTAGCTGACCACCCAGCTTTCATCATCCCGACGATTCTCCCCATCTCAAACTGCGACAACTGCTCATATTGTCTTTGAACACAGCATAATGGCATGTCTACCTCAGCTCTTCCTTTGTAAATGATTCAGCACACTCAAACAAGCTTTGGTTACCTGTTTTATACTCCACAGAGTACGACATTCAATGCCCTCTACCGGCTATACGTAATGCGCAATCACGCAGCATTTTTAATCATTTGCATATCTCCCCGACATGTACCTTCATTGCAAGTTTCGTTACGATCCCGGAATTATTTCTTGGTGTGCTAATTTTTTTGTCCATGAATGCATATATATTTAAACTCTACCCATCGATTTTGCTATAAACATAGCTGCTGCTCTTTAAAGTTTTGAAAACACTTTTTTGGTTTTGAAGAAGACGGATCTAATACCTAATCACCTTCAAAATCAATATATTCAAAATCTATTTTTTCAAATTAATTTGAGTTGAAATTACTTTTAAAATAAGTTTGAGTTTTATTAAAAATCTTTACCAATTTAAACTTTTTCTTTTGTCTCATTTTAAATGTGTAACACTAAAATTTAGTTCACATTTATGGCTATTTTTCAACCAAAATTAAAAACTTATTACAGACTGAATTTCGAGAACAAATACTATTTAACTACATAAATCTTCAATATTAAAAATGTCTATTTGTTGTTTCTTTAAATTATGTTTTAAATGTAATTAAAATGTGTTTTAAAATATAAGTTTTTATGGAAAAAAAATTTGGTATGAAATCAAAAATACTAATATCAACTTAATTAAGACACAATAACACGCTGGATAAATACTAATTCAGAAGTCAAACAACAAAAATCAGCGTTAAATTTACAAAATTAAATTTTTTTTATTTAAATTAAAAATTTTAAAATTTTGTAAATATAACGCTGATTTTTGTTGTTTGACTTCTGAATTAGTAATATCAACTTTTCATAAGATAGGTTTGAAGAACATGGATATATTAAAAGTTTGATTATATAATACTGAGAAAAGGTAAAATGCTGAGATTTATATTTCGAGCAATTATCAGTTACAAGCTATTTACTATCTTCACTTAAATTCTCAATATAATTACAAATTTCAAGCAATGTCATACACAAAAGTTTTCTGCACAACTTCAGGACTTACTTTTCTCCTGTAGAGAAATAAAATATTTGGCACAATTTTAAAAACCTTGACAAAAACCTCGAGCACTTGAGGGATCTGAAATTTAAAATAAAGTACATTAAATAATAAATTATTTACAATGCAACACAGCATTTACTATAAAAATCAATAAATACAGTATACAGTCAAAAGTCGTTAATCCGGACTCGTCAGGACTTCAGCGATTCCGGATTATAGATCATCAGTTTAAATCTGGTAAGATGGCATGCAGAAATTATAAAATTAAAAATATGAAACCATAATTTATGAAATAAAGAACAATTATGATCTAAACGGTATCAAAATTTACAAAAACAAAAGGCTTAATATTTATTTGTTTACTTTATTTAACATTTCTTTCAATGTAAGTTGTTTAAGTTGTTTCATTTTATGTGATAATACTTTCTCTTTAATTCTATAAACAGACATAATTTCTTGTTCAGTTACAAACTTCCGCTGTTCAAGTCCTATAATTGCTGTGTCGAGAATACCGACTAATTTGTCAATCGAATTTTTTTCGTTTTTAATAACCTCTGTGTCACTTTCTTACTATCGGAAGCGAATTATGATGACGAGGAATATGATTTAAATCATATCAAAGACGGAGTACATCGAGATGAAATACTACATTTAGTGAGGAATTATAAACCAAATAAAATAAAAACATCTGCCCTGAAGATAAGGATAGTGCTGACAGATCAACTTCCGATTCCTTGCGCGCCGCAGCGTTCCCCCGCCACAGAGCAGCGTGAAATTGATAAACAGATTTTGGAATGGTTAGAGAAACAAAGGATATGCCTTTATCCAGTTTTTGCAGCAATTCCACTTTTTGTTTGATGGACATCGAAACATACTTTCCCTTTGTAAATCCTTTGGGAGCTCCAGCATCGGAAATTCTATTTGACATAATCGAAAGTTCAAGCTTAATTTTATAAAATTGCTCTAACAGTCTGCAAAAAATAATAAGCCGGATCCAATTCGAAGATTAAGGAACAACGCAATCTGCAACATTAACTAAAATAGATAATTAGATAATTTTAGCTTATACCATCCGTTATACATTAAACGTGCATGCGTAAACATATTATGCGCATGCACACACGCATATTGATGCAAAAGCAAAGTTTAGAGTCGTAAAATTAAACTTTTAGCAAAAGTAGCAATAGAAGCTCCCTAAGGTTATATACTGTGCAGACACTGAAGACAAAAGTTTTAAACTTAACCAATTTATTAACAATATATAAAAATAAAAACACAATGAATAAATTTAATCAATATCAGAAACTTAAAGAGTATAACATAATCATTATAAAAAAAAAATACACTTAGTTGATCATCTATTAACCCCAAGGATTTTTTCTTTAAAGAATGTTACACTATTAAAGTCACAGTAAATATTTTACCTGATCTTCAAACACCGGCATTCAATACGCTAAAAACATATCACTGAACAGATATTACGCGGTTATAATGAAATTCGCTGGAACCACGGCACTTATCACTGGATGGCATGCATCTCAGTATCGTCTTCCAATGGGGGCTCAAACGGCACACCATGGAGCAAAGAAACAGGAACCAGAAGGAATGAACCAGAGCGACGCAAGATACTTATACCTGAAGTAGACATGACATCATCTCATGGCAATCAATCAGCTATCGGCACGACTCAGCTTTCCAGATGACGTAACATCAAGTTTCGTTTTTGCATCTTAATTAGGCTGGAACAGTCCGCTCTTAATACAAACAGTGGCAGTGAAAAATGAAGTAGAAGTAATTACTATATCTCTTTAAAATAAGAACTAAACCTTATGTAAAAGTTAGAAATATTTCAAGGAGGAGAGATAATGCAGAAAAAGGGTCACAATAGGTCATATTTTCCAACACATATGAGCAGCCGTAAAGGTCTTACGTGCATGCGTAAACACCTATGTGCATGCGTCGCGCAGAAATTTTGTAGCTTTGAGGTCTGGATTATGGGTGTCCGAATTAACGACTTTTGACTGTATATAGATCTATAAAAAATACAAAGGATTAAAAAAAAAAATCCATAAAAGAACTAGGGAAAATCTAACATATACAACAAAAACTTACAAATTTACCTTTCTCATCCTTTATCAACTATTTTTAAAATATGTTTATCTATATTTTATTCATCTTATTTATTAATATTCACTATGATTGAAAGAACTTAAAAAATTTTCCTGAAAAGCTAAAATCAATAAAGACTCAAATATACTATTCTATCAAAAACTGCATACATATTTCTGAGCAAATACATTTTAATCATTAGAATCCAAAAATTACTTCTATTTACTTCGAGTCTAATAAGGAACTTGAATACCTGAACATTTATTAGAGCTTGATGAATTTTAAGCCAAAAAGGGGAAAAAAAAAAAAAAAAACTGAAATGTGTTTCAGATTTTAAATTACGTCCAAAGGGGCGTTTTTTAACATTTTGTGTGTTACCTTTCTTTATTAAATATCATGTTCCTCGCACTTAAACCATAAGATCCAGTGCAACAGCAATATCGCAAAATAGTTTTAAAACGAGCATATCTTTAGAATTTCCGATACAGAGACTCACGCGCTGGAGATAAAAATGTTTTTTCTGCACAACGTTGCCATTGCTCGCTTTGAAATCCTTGAGCTTGTTAATCAAAAATTCGTCAAAGTTTTAAAAAATAGGAAATCGATCATAAAACAAATTTCAAATTTGGTCTTCCACATGCTCATATTCGTTGGAGGATTACGTTATTCAAAATTCGATGACTCTATGTACCGTTATTTTATGACAATGTGAGAAATATACATACATTTACGCAAATTTTCATTATTTAATTTCTTCAAATATAATGCAGGACTCTAACATTTTATGGCAACAGTTTGAAAAGTGAACCGACATTTATCCATCCGACGGAAAATGCCAAAACGAAACTAATAGTCCTTTGGGATTCAAATCCCTTTGGACTAAAAATGTTTCTGAATATTATTGAGAAATATTCTATACAATAACTTATATTTCTACCATAGAAATTAAATACTGGACATTAAGTTATTTGAAATTACTACACTTAAATTCTAAACCATTTGGTGGCAACTATTTCTAGCTATTATTAGAAGATTTCTGCTTTCACGTTCATTCCAAAGAAAAAATTTTAATATTATTTTTATATATTTACGGCAGGTTATTAACTGATAAGCTAGGAATGATACTCAAACATGTCTTGATTTCTGAATCAAGATATAGAAATACTGAAATAAAAAATACCATAACAGTAATAAGACAAAAAGAATCAAAATGCATCCTTATTAATCAAACATTCCTGAACAAACCTTATCTAAATCATCTAAATGCACATTACTCAATATTGCACACACATCTGACAGATTGCTGGATATATTAGAGGATTTAAGTCTCTTGATGAAAAAGCAATCCCTAGAAATTAATGACTAATTCCATATTTTATCCTAAAATGTGTATTTACAAACCTACCCAGCACGTGCTCAAAAAATGACAAATAATGAATATCATAATTTCAAGAATATTTGTAAATAATCAACAACATGTGCATATCATTTAGTATGTACAACTACAATGAATCTAATAGTGGGGAAAGAAATATGACCCAAATCCATTATTAGAGGTAAATTTATATTTGGAAATATCGAAATTTAAATCTTAATAATAACAGCTACTTGCATGGCCAAACAGCAAAAGATTTTGAAGAGTAACAATAGATTTTTTTTTTAACATCAATGAATTTTCAGAATTTGAAATATGAATATCTTATGCATTGAAAAGTGGCAACACACAGCTTTTAATTCACTGAGATTTTAATCATAAGTTCCTTTAATTCCTACAAAATATTAAATGAATGAAAAACAGATGCAATTCAAAATTTGTGTTTCAAGATGCATGTGTTTGGGTGGATGACCATGTCTGTTCTAAATTTAGTAGTTCTAGATGATGATGTTTTTATACAATGTGAGGAATATACATACACATAGGTTCTTCATTATTTAATAATACAAATAAATAAATGTCTTAAACCTTAATTAATATTATTCAAAATGCAAGAAAAAACAGAATCTTTTATTAAATGAACATAGAACTTCAGTTAAACACAGGACTTTCAGTTAAATGGGGGTTACTAAACCAATTCAAATACTGGTTTATTAGCAAATCTGAATAAAATATTACATTATTCTCATTCTTTACCGAGAAATTTTTCATATTTCTTCTTTCCATGAGGTCTCCCCCAAATAAAACAGTTTACTATCTATCCTCTTCTTTTATGGGGAAAGAAAAAAAAAAAATTATTTTTCATACTTACTCCTTATTACAACAATCTGGAGAGTACAATTGTTGCATAACTTCATCATTTTTTTCAAACACCCGCATCAGATTATTCTCTGTACCATCAAATTTATCATGGCATGCTAAGCTGGGGGGAGGAATAAATGAAATGATGAGAAACAGTCTAAGAAAGCATAATAGAATATTAGCATAATGCATATCACAAGGTAAAAAAATAAAAATGTTTTATTTTTATATTAAAAAACTGTAGTTATGATAGAATATAACTAAGCTTCTGTAAGTAAAATGCAATACTGGAAAAACTTCACTCTCAATACAACATGAAAAAGTTTCTTATTAAGATATTGTAAATTTTTCTTATTTTAAGATATTCTAAATTCATTAGCATTAATTTGATCAAAAATGACTGTTGTGCATCTTAATTTAAATTTTTATAAAAATTCTTACCCTCCTCTCTTTTAGCAGGAATGCATTAATGAATGAATGAATACAAGAAGACTGGATATTACTTCTTGAAAGGAAAAATTAACTGATCATAAATTAAAGCAAAACATTGATTGCTAGATTGTCTAGGATGGATGGCTTTAGCACACGTTTTCCAGAGAAAATAACTCTACATGGTAAACTCTTTATTTCAAGTAATATTATGCCATTTTAATATTGTTTCTGGATAATGCAATAGAAGAAAATCACAGCATATAAAATAGATAAGGACTTTACAGGAATTAATAAAAAACTACAGGCCATATCAGAAATATCAAAACTTTTATTCATTCAATGATTAGACTAGATACAGGTAAAACAGTCACTCTTAAAATTATAAACCCACTCTCAATACGTGGCATTATGTTTGAGTTTAATTATGAAAGTTTTATTTAGTTTACATCTTTCCTTTTGGCTCACATCACTCAAAATATAATGATTCCAGAATTTGTGCAGACTTGAGAGCAAGTAGTTTTGCTATTAAATTAGAGGAATGGCACACTGCTGGTGTGTGAGGACTCTGGTGTTAATGCTGACCGACTGTCTCAGAATTTGTCTCTTGATGAGTAAGCGCAATCTCACATTAGACTGAAAGTCAGTTTGGTAAGCTTACAATTTTGAGTCACTTTGGGGGTAACAGGTAAATCTTGTAGCCTCTAGTTAAAATGGACTAGGTATTATAGTTCAAAAGAGTTGAAGGACAGTTTGTGTTTATAGTCAGGTCCAAGTGAATGGTACTTCTGTGTTGCACTATGTTTAGTTCAAGCCTCACAAATAGCAAGGTAGAATAAATTTTAAAGTATGTTTGTGTCTGTTTGTTTGAAGTTCAATTATTCTAGAAATGAAAATTTACCCACAGAGTACAAAAAACCCCTTGTTACATTTGCAAGTGAAGCCTCAAATATTTATTACAAATAACAGTAACTTTGAACATTAAATGTGGCATATCTGAAAAATATTTATTCATCAATTAACGGCCTATGAATATCACAAAGAAAATTTAATTACTTTACATTAAAATTAGCATTGTATTATAGCTAGACAGATGAATGCTTGGTTCGGGCTGAGACATTGACTTATTTAAATAAACTCATTGACAATTAATGAATTCTCTTTTTATCATACAAGTTAAATAATAGTAAAGTTATTATTAAGTTCTAAGCAAACTTACATTAATCTGTTTCAGGTATGGCCAAACTGAGCTCATAAGCCTGATGCAGCTCTTTGGCCTGCTCAAATGTGGTTCATATTGTTACAAATAATAGTATTATTGAAGTAAGAATTAAAATTTGAGACAAAAACCTTGTATGACAGCCTTATTCAGGAACCAATAATTGAAATTTTTACAATGCATTATGAACACAACATTTTTTTAATAATTTTGAATTATGTATTATACGCTTATTCATCAAAATAATAAAAAATGGTAATATATCTATTTTCCCAAATACAGTTCAGGCAGTACTGTTTTTATAATGAATCTTACTGAATGACACCAATTATATGAGCAATTATACTGAAAACAAAATTAATATATCTGATGATTCATTTTGCACTTAAGGAATTAAATAATCTTCTCATGCCATATTTACTTGCACATTCTCCCTTTTCCTACTAATTTTACCACTTGAAAATTGAGGGGGGGGGAAGCATATGCAGTGTATCATATTTCCAAAGAGATGATTTAAATTATAAACATAGCACTTAAAAGCACACATAAAGAGACACTAATATTATACAGTACAAAGTCTTTAATCTGGACTCGTTGGGACTTCGGCGATTCTGGATTATGGGTTTTTCCGGATTATAGATCATCAATTTTAATCTGGTAAGACGGCATGCAGAAATTATAAAATTAAAAATATGAAACCATAATTTACGAAATAAAGAGCAATTACGATCTAAAGGGTATCAAAATTTACACAAAAAAGCTTAATATTTATTTGTTTACTTTATTAAACAGTTCTTTCAATATAAGTTGTTTAAGTTACTTCGGGTTTTGTGCTAATAATTTCTCTTTAATTTTATAAACAGACATACTTTCTTGTTCAGTTCCACTGTTCAAGTCCTGTAATTGCTGTATCGAGAATACCGACTTACTTGTGAATAGAAATTTTTTCGTTTTCAATAACCTCTCTGTCACTTTCTTGACTATCGGAAGCGGTACATCGAAACATGCTTTCACTTTGTAGATGCTTTGGCAGCTCCAGAATCGGAAACTCTTTTTGACATAATCGAAAGTTCAAGCTTATTTTTTATAAAATTGCTCTAACAATCTGCAAAAAATAATAAGCCAGATCCAATTAGAAGATTAAGGAAAAATGCAATCTGCAACATTAACTGAAATAGATAATTAGATAATTTTAGCCTAGCTTATACCGTCCGTTATACATTAAACGCGCATGTGTAACGCATAATGCGTTAAAGCATGCGCAGAAAGTTTGTAGCTTTGAGGTCCGGATTATAGATTATTCCGGATTAAAGACTTTGTACTGTATTATGAATTTCAAAGAACTTATTAATTTCATTATTCTTTTTTATATATAAAAAAGTTATTTGCTTGCATACTTTTTTCAATAGTTTCTTCAGCATTATAAGGGGGTCGTTTTGGATTGGGTCAAAAAACAGTCCTTTATCGTGTAACAAATATTTATTAACAAGTTTAAGTTATACACAGACATATGCAGACGCATGGTACATCCCTAAGGGTTCTGATGGTTTATAAAGGCTTGAAATGACATAGGAAGTAAATGATGTCTATGTCATTACCATAACTTTGAAGTATTTTTGTTTTTGGCATTACTAACGTGATGTAAATTTATAAGGTATTTTCTCCCGCTTTCCTAGAGTGCCTTTGTGGTGTAGTGGTTCTGCACGCTGGGACGGTATTTCAGAGGTCCGTGGTTCAATTCCCGGCGAAGGCTATTGCTCATTTACCTCTCCGGCTTTTCCAATTAACCTAATGTCTCTATAAATTGACCCACACTCTATCACCTGGTGAATAAAACATTTGTCGTCTTCCTTTGTCATACTGCTTTTTGTGTTGATCTTGCTTCATTTCGATACGTTCTCGAATGTCTTTTGTAACAGTTGCGAATCATTTAAGATAAGGGGTGATTTCAGGAACAAATTATCATTTTTGACCACAGCTTTGAAATCACGGACAACATCGTTGACGGTCCTCAGCTTTTTTCCAAACATTAGGAATGCTGATGTATGTATGGCCTGCAGTGTCACAGACGGCCGCATTCATAGCAAAGCGAATAACTGGGTGTTTTGAATGCCAGTCCTCATGTGCATCTCCTACAAGGATTACAAGAAGAGGTTTTATGCCTCTATTTTTCCATTCCACAGGATTTGATTGAGGAAAGTAAAATGATATCAAGTTTTGAATGATATTTAATGTGCAGCAAACTTGTTGCATGACAGCACTGATAAATTGGGTTCCATTAGTGCTGATGATTCTTTGTATACCAGGGCTGCATGAAGACTTCTTCGATGAGGGTTATAGTGCAGTCGCATGAGCATATGATTCAACTCATCTCATAGCACAGTCTTCGACAATGAAGATCCACTGTTTTCCAGTGTCAGTTTTAGGCAGTAATCCACATAAAGATAATCTAAAAAAGTTGAGATTAGACAAGGGTTCTTAGCAGTCCAGCTGGCTTTTGATTGGTAGCCTTGTAGCAGTTGTATTCAGGATAGCTTTTTACATAGTTGGATATGTACTCTTTATACCAGTCCAACAATACACTCTGGCAATTCTTTGGAATGTTCCTTTCTCTCCATAATGTTTAACCATTGGGTCATCATGGTGTTTCATATGATGGATTCATGCTCAGCAGTTGGAATGACTAACTGGGCCTCTTCTAAATCAGAAACAGGGATGTATCGGTAGAGAATACCTTGATTCATTAAGAATCCCCGTTCAGACCAGTTGGCACATTCTTCAGTTTTCTGAGTGGATTCGAAACTATATATAATCTTTTTAAAATTTTCAACTTTAAGTTGAGAATCCCATACGTCTTTTGGAAGAAATGATTGGAAAATGTTGATATCCATTGGGAAAAAATAATCACAAAAAGTTTCACGTATTTAACCTAAATGTAATAATTCATGTAAATGTAGCAAGAAAAGGTGTGGTAAAAGCAAGTGCGGGACTAGTGCAGGATAATACCTTTTATTTTAGTGCCCCCTATAACCTATGTTAGGGTTAACCTGTATAACCTACAAGGGTCGCCAGTTTTGAGGAGATATCTAGGTAGTCGTCATAGTATGTAAGTACCTAATAATCGATCATAATTTAGTCCAAATTTATCTGCAGGGTGAATCAATTCCAGGCATTCTTCAAAGGCATCACTTTTTAACTTTATATTAGAGATTTCCAATCATGTAATATATTTGTTTTTCCATTAAAAATTTGTTATAGAAAAGCCATATTGATATGATAGGGGGCCACACCAGCAAGCGCAAGCCACCTCCGTTAAAATGGTCCAAAAAGCATGCGTAGCCGCAAGCATCCAGCCTTTGTATTGTATCTAATTTCTGTCTAATTCTCCCAAGTTCTCCTGCCCTGCAGTCACATGCACCAATGCCATACTTAACAATTAGAATTGCTACATTTTAAAAAATAAACAACAAGAT